TGGTGAGCTCCCATTAACTCAGGTAGACTGCTTCAGTGGGTGTCCCCATCACGCAGACCCCATATTCCACCTCTGGCTCTCTGTATGCTTTCAGTAAGCAGGTAGTCTTCCTGTGCCTTTCTTTTGCATTTGTAAAACAGGTCCATGTGCCAGAATCCCCTCACATGCAGTGCTTGTGGGAGTTACATGGTGTAATGAATGAAGGCCCACCTACCATTCTCCTCTCCAAACCGTGGAGTTCCCCCAGAAGCGGTGGTAGACTTACTTTCTCGATGCTTCGACTTCACCTAAAACATACACCAATCCCCTAATCTTGCTAACCTTGAACCTTCCTTTCACCATGAGAGGCTGTTGCCACGGGCCTAAAAACCTTTTACTTTTTATTCTTGTGCTCCATCCACCTCCCCCAATACTGCCACGTTCCAGCTTATCCACAGAAGAAAGCAAAGGTTTCTCCTTTCTCATCTTTTAGGTAGAGAAGCTGGCCCCTCTCTTTTGCCCCTGTCATTAGCTACCCACCCTTCCTGGCATTTGGGAAGTTTTTTTCTCTGCAACATGCTTATCTGAGTTCAGGCAACTGAAGTGAAACATGAGAGAGAAGACAAGGAGGTCTGACAGGAAGTCCAAATAAGGACTTCCTCCCATTCACCTTGAACTTCTGAGGTACCTCAGCTGAACAACAAAGCCAGAGAACCAAAGCAAGGAGACTTAAAAAAAAAAAAAGAACAAAATTGTCAGCCACAAGGAAGTGGAAAATATTACCTACTGGTCCTTGCCTTGCCTAGGGCAGCCCACTCATAATTTCCTCCTGTGTTATCCATGGATGGGGGAGGTGAGACCAGTGTCCAGGGCAGATGGGAGGGAGCGCTCAGAGACTGTGGAAGACAGAGTGAATGTTATCTGGAGAAGGACTGGGAAAGGGCCATGCAAGTCTGTGTTCACCATCTCCTATTCTGCAGCCCCAAGGAGTGCCAGGAAGTACTGGGCCTCCCCAGGTGGCGGTTGCTGGGGTCCAGCCCCCTTTAGCCTGTACTTTTCTGAAAGTATTCTTTGTTCTACGCCATAGTGTGGTGTGTCATGTACCACGAAGGACCCTCCGAGGCTCTCCTCCATTGGATCCTATCACCTTTTGTCATCCAGAATGATCCCATAGACGGGTGGCATCTACTTCCTGCCTCTAAGCATGTTGTGTGTGTGGTGGGGGGGAGGACTTCCCTTAGCCTCTGCCCTAAGAAGGGCAACATATTCTCATATACGAAGCCTCTATTTTTCTCTCTTCTCTGGTCCTGACATGACAGTTGTCCAGGATTCTTCCTCCACAGCACATATGGGAGCAGTAGCTCCCCAATCTGTTTTCTCACCTCTAAAACCAGTCAGTAGGAAAGGCAGACATGGCCCCTGCCCTGTGATTCTGCTGTGGGCTAGAGGGAAAGGGGGTGGGTGGGTGCTGTGAATCTAGGCTTGGGAAGGGAGGCAGGGAGGGAGGGAGGGAGGGAAGAGAACCTCCACTGTCTGCCCCTGCCTTCCCACAGGAAGACATACTACAAGCACTGCTTTCTTTTCCATACCTTCTCGATGCCTAGCTTGTGAGCCCCTGCCACTGGCTCAGTGCTGTCTGTGGGTTGCTCTTACCTAACCTTGAGACATATGGTTGGTCCTCTGTGGTTGCAGATTCTATATCCATGTATTCCAACAGCAGAGGGGAAACATTTTTAAACAACTGAATCCACACTGAATGTGGATAGAGTTTTTTTTCCTTGCCATTATTCCTTAAACAACAGAGAATCACAGCTACACACATAGCATTGGTATGTTTAGGTATGTGAATCTTCTAGAAGTGGCTCAGATTATGCGAGAGGATAATTTTATGTAAGGAACTTGAGCTCTGACAAATTTCAATACCTATGAAAGATTCGGAAACAATCTCTTGCTTTGTTTAACCTTTCAACTTGTGTGTGTGTGTGTGTGTGTGTGTGTGTGTGTGTGTGTGTGTGTGTTTGTGTATACTGGGTTTTCTACCTGGATCTAGCCAAAAGACATGGGATAGGATTAGTTGCCCCATCAAAGAGGCTTCTTCTTAGATTGCAATGATGGACCTTAGCTGGTCCCCACCTGCTACTCTGCTTCATGTTCAAAGCCAACAAAATGACATCTTGGTAGGAACTGAGTTTTTGCTATCCTGATACCACTGCTGTCTTGGGATAAATGTGAAGACCTGCTCATTTCACATGTAAAGAGACCTAGTAAGTAACAAGTGAGATGACATGCTATCACACACATTGTCCTGGTTTCCTGAGAGCTGTTCTTCAGAGTTGCCCTGCCTTGGGCGTTTCTGAAACACTTGCCAGACACAGGAGATGCGAAACCTAAAATTATTGGGAAATCACCCAGGGATAGGAAGAGGACAGTCTTTAGGCCTGAAGCAACACACTTCCCCTTTCATCATTCTCTCTCTCTCTGTCTCTCTCTCTGTCTCTCTCTCTGTCTCTCTGTCTCTCTCTGTCTCTCTCTCTGTCTCTCTCTCTGTCTCTCTCTCTCTCTCTCTCTCTCTCNTCTCTCTCTCTCTCTCTCCATGCCTTATCTGAGGTACGGGTCTGTGGTTCAATGGGCAGTGGACACAATATGAAAGACATTTCAGATCAGCTACTTGCTAGCTTTCTGTGGACTGCAGACCATACGCTGTCCCCATGAACACAGGGGATACTGTACAAGCTCTGAAGACAGGCCTAGTTTGAATCCTGACTCTATTCTGGCCATCATCAAAGCATCCCAGAACCTTGAGGAGGTAAATGGTAAGGGATAGTGGCTCTGGACTCAGGTCCATTCTCGACAAGACTGGAACGCACAACCTACTTGGAGATGTAGAGGGCAAGCAAATGGCTTCTCCACTCTGACTTCGTTGCTCTCTTCAATGAAGTGAGAGTAACTGTGCCAGACATTGGGAGGGTTGGTGTAAAGTTCACGGCTCATCCTCTGACACACTGAGGGAGGTGGGCTTTCTGTGGTCTTGTGCTTCTATTACCTTCATTGTCATTGTCCTGGCTTCTGGCTGCTATGGCTACCTTGTCACTGGTCCCCATGGCTTGTTCGTCTTGGCCACTTTTTGTTGAATAAAAATACCTAACAATATTTGAGTCTATCTTCTGCTTTTCTGTTGTTTTTTATCCTGAATTGAGTGAACAATATTAAAAACACAAGTCTGACCAAAAATCAAAACCCACTATTGCTTTTACTTTTAAGGATGATCTGGAATGTCCATTTCCTCAGAAGTTCTCTATTTTAAGAGATTTTGATTGATTGATTGATTGATTGACTGAGGTCCAGAATTTTTACCTCTCCATTCTCCTCTCTAAGACCTCTGCCGAAAGCCCAGTTCATCCCATGATGTCTTCTTTACTCTACTTGAAAGTGATTTGGCTCCATTATGGCTGTCACGCTGCTGATTTGAAAAACGAAGTAATGTCTCTCACGAGTCAGGGCATTTCGGAGCAGCAGGGCAGTGGTCCATTGAGCATGATCAGTTGTTGATCACTTAATGTAAGCTACCTGGGTTGATGCCTTCTGCCCATCACCATCATGGACCCATTTTTAGGGCTGGGTCCGGCACTGCATCTGCATCTCACTTCAGCTCTTAGGCAGGTGATGAGACAGCTCCTGGAGGCAGCAGGGCTTCTGTAGTGAGAATGAAAGGGAAAGCATACACGACTGAAGCCACTCGTGCAAAACCTCCAGAAAGAGCATCTCAGGTACCAGCGCTGGAATTGAGAGATGCGCACATGTGTGCGTCTGTGCAGTCTACATATGCGAGCATGTATGTGCACATACATATGGAACCCTGGCTAATCTGTGTTTGCAGGTTGCCATATTGCATCAATACATTTGCTTTAAGCCTCAGGTCTCACTCACTGCCAGGGATTCTTTCAGCCCATGAGATCTGCTCGGAGACTGTGACTGAAGGGCGATGCAAGAGATCCCCATCGCCTGTCTCCAGAGAACAGACTCTTTGGCCAGATGCGTGGAAGACTCAATAGCAAATGGAAGACACAACAGTAGAGAGAGCAAAGCGAGGAAGCACAGTGTATAGAAGGGGTTGTGTCATCAATAAGAACAATTCTTTGAACTTTTTTTCTTTACATTTGCCTAGCAAATGCACTGAAGTTGCATGTGTGTAGCCCCTCTGCCTGCCTGCCTTGCAGATATGGGAACTAGTTACCTAGACTGTCACTGAAGAGACTATAGAAGGCCTGAACATGGCAAACTTGGCTCTGGTAGGCCTTGCCTTTCTTCCCCATTGCCTCTGCCTTGCTAAAAACTGTTAAATTACATTCCTAAAGCTATAGTGGCCTCCTCCTCCTGAGGCTGGCTACCATTGTCCAGCTATCAAAGTCTTGAATTCCAGAAATCAAAAACCCCCTTTGGCTCACCTAATTAATATGCCCGATTAAAATGAAATGCCTCATCCTATCACAGGGTTTCCCCCTTTACCTTTATAAACTGCCGTTTTCCTATGGGCCAGGTCTGTCTCCTCTCTATCCAGAGGCAGTCTTTTGTCCCCTGGGACAAATACCCCTCCTTTCTCTCCTTTCTCCCTCATCTTTGTCTCTTATTCCCTGCCCCTTGTCCCTCTGGGTTAAGTAAATATCCTTTGTCCTGAGAATGTGGCCTTGGGGTGTCCTGAGTCCCTTCAGCCACTCCATACCCAAGACCGCAGCACAGAAACACGCATATCAGAAGTGTGGCTGGTCCTCTGCACCCCAGCACCGTTGGCCACTTGGAACCTGACTGCCTCACTCACCCTAACGTGAAGAAGCCGCTGAAGGTGCCCCCGCTTTCAGTGAAAACAAACTGGTGGGCTAGGAGGTTGGAAAACATGAAGAGACCATCTTCCTTCCCCCACAGTTCACTAGTGGATGAAATTACAGACAATTTTAGGGAAGTGTCAAAGGAGGCTCTATCTGTATAGACGCAGTCATGCAGGAATTTGGTGTCCAGCTTCGGGTGTCCGGAATTATAGTGGAGAAGCAGTACTTGAACTGAGTTTAAGTGCCCACCTGCCTGGGGTATCTGGGCCAGTGGGGAATTACCCCTATCTCTCTCTGCATTGTGAACCCCTAGAGCTGGCCTTCCTTGTTTACTTATTTAGAAGTCAGCAGAGGAAGTGGTAAAGGAAACCGGCTGAGTCGTTTTCTGAGAAGAGACCATATTTGCTCACAGGGGAAGCCAGTGCTTCTTGGGATCCGGCTACAGCCGTAGTGACGCCTGCTCAACAAGTGTGTTCCTGAGCGTAGTTGGGATTCAGAAGAGCCAAGGACACTCAGAGCTTTGGATCTGTTTTGTTTCCTCTCTGTTCATGGCTGCTGCCTCTCTCCCTGGCTTGTGAGCTTCTCCCTGAACAGCAGCCATGGCCTTGAAGAATGTGCCCTTTCGCTCGGAGGTCTTAGCCTGGAACCCGGACAGTCTAGCTGATTATTTCAGGAAGGTGAGTCTGTCGCTCTTGTGTTTTTTTGTGGGGCTGGTGTGCTTTCATGGGGTGGCCAGAGAGTGGAGGTGGAGTCTGGAAAGAATATGGAACGTGTACAAGAAAACTGTGGAGCTACCAACTACAGTTGCTACCTTCCTGGGAGGCAGACAGACGACTGAGCTTTCAGGCAGTGTGTCCTGTAGAGGAGGATAGCCGAGGGGGCTCTCCCATGTGTAAGCCCCTAGCACATACAGGCACGCATCCAGGGTTCCACAGACTGTGTCCTAACAGACACAACCCTCTGTAATGTGAGGTCACTGTCACCATATTAATGAATGCACTGACAGTGTTGCATCTCGATGTCAATATTTCGTTCAGCTGAAAAGTCAGCTCAGGGAGTTTAAGTGGTTCAAAGCTCTCGAGTCTTAATGGATTTGGTTGAATCGCAGCTGTGCCTAGTTAGCTTTAAAGCATATGTTATGAAATGCAGAGAACAGCTATGGTGAAGTCTACTTACTAGAAAAGGCGATATGGAGTCCCGGGCTAGGAAAGTAAACAGGCAGGGCAGGAGGGATGGGCAGAAGGCTAGGTGAACAGTGGTATTTGGGCATCCATTGTTCATGATCCTGGAAGAGTGCCAGAGTCTCACTGGAGCTTTATGAGAATCCTTGAAAGTAGACATGAGTACCAGGATGGGACACAAAGGATGGGCTCAATAGACTTAGAAATCAAGGAGGAGATAGTCAAGGGTCCTTGTTTTGTTACCTGCTAATGAGGACCACATGTCTGCTTAGGCACATCCCAAGACACATGATGCCTCTAAGGCACCCATACAAAAGAGGTAAGAGGCCTTATGAAAAACACGAGCTTCTATTGTCCCCATCCCTGCGAACTGGCCTCAAATTCCCCTGATATGCCAGGCAGTGGTGAAGATGAAGTCCTAAAACTAAGACCAAAGAAGTCATTTATTTTCCTTCTATTTTTTTTTTTTTTAAGAAACAAAGACACAAAGAGTAGAATAGTCTCCTTGGGGTGTGTAAGCAAACCTGTAATCCATATGGTGGCTTCTTCCCAACCTATGGAAGAAAATGTGATCATTCTGTACTGGCGAGGCACGGTAGAACCATTGTCCCACAAATTCTGTCATTTGCCACTTCTTGCAAACCTTGTTTTACTCACTTTCTCCCCTTTAATGTCTTCCTAAACTTCTCTCTCAACACTGTGGGTGGAAATAGGATTAGATAACTGACTCTTTTGAAGCATTTTTTTTTAAACTACTGTTCTTAACTAAAAACGAAGTAAGTGAGGGCAGGCAGAAAGGTAAATTCTCCATGGTGGAGTGAAGTCGTGAATTATTTCAACAGAGTAATGAGAATGAAATTAAGAATTAAGGCAGGGAAATCTGGGGAGAGACCAAGAGACACAGAAAGGCCCCAATATTCAAGTGTTAACTTGGATGTTATGAAATCCCATGGTGCCACAGATAATGCATAGGTTAAGTTCCCTTCAGCACAGGGTGGGCCTTGGGTAGGCCAAGTAGACATCACTGTGCTTGAGTTAAGGGAAGGGGGAGTTCTATTCTTGGGGATTGTGGACCTTGGTAAAAGTCACACCCCAGGGACAGGCCTCACCTTCTGGAGGGAAAGAATCGAGAGTAGGAACTAAGAAGCCGAGGGGCAATTGATGATGCTAGAAGGACCAGTCCCCTGCCACAGACACAGACGAGACCCTTCAGACCCCAAACTCATTGGTCCCCAGAGAAGACACTCTGTGAAATGAACACAGAATCACTTAAGGATGCTCCTGGAGGTCGGTATGCCTTTTAAAGGATTGACCAGCAAGTGTGATTGATGTCTACAGAAGCTGTTGGGTTGGGCCACTGAGACTTCTATACAGTTCTGGAGTCAGACACACCTTGTTTGAGTTGTACCCTTTCCAGTTAGCTTGGGAACTTATTCTTTTAGTTGCCTTGCTTTCCTAAATAGTAAAACAGAGCTATTAACAGTAGCTAACTAGACGAGATGGAGGTAAGGTTGAAAGTAAGCACATGTGAGGCACTGAGTTCCATGTCCTACCTCACCCTTATCTTGCTCTTCTCACCAGAGTCTGACTGGAGAGGCTGAGGCAGGGTGGCGAGGCTTTGTGTTAGACTGTCTCAGATATGTGTGCTTACCCTGTATGGGGGATGGAAACCGTGAGAATTAAGCCCATAGTCTGCTTGTCCCTGACTCCTCCAGGCCATGCAGTATATTTCCTGGCTCATAGCCATGCGTTCTAACCCTGTTGGGTTTCTACCTCCCTGTGTGACATTAAGCCAGAGCTGCCTTCTCTCTGGGCACCAGTTACCGTCATCTACAAAGCCACTGGGTCAGTGCCAAGATTGGTATCTTGGATGCTAAGGAAAATTACTTAGGGTGCTTGTTGAGATGCAGATTTTAGGTCCCAAGACTCGGGTCTTACTGGACTGTATACACTGACTAGGTTCAAGGCTAGAACTCTATTTTTGGTTTAAGAGTTAGAACTGGCATCTACAGAGCTGGCGATGCATCTGATAGCGATCACAGTGAAATGAGTTAAAGGAAGTTGGCAAACCCCGCTACCCACCCTGCCCGTGGGTCAAGGAGACAGCAACTAGCTGCAGATGCTGCCTGCCCTCAGCATTGACCTATAAATCAGCTTCCCGAAGGCGATGCTCACTCTGTCCTTCTAGGCTAGGAGGTGACAACAAGTGTATTTTAAAATTATTATTATGGAGACGGGTTCTTGGAGTATAGCCCAGGCTGCTCTTGGACGGACAGCAATCCTGTCCTCCCGCCTCATTCTCCTAGGTGCTGAGATCAGAGGTGTGTGCTGCTGCATCCAGCTGTGTTTACTTTTTACATTATCTGGAAAAGGGGGTCATAAGATAAGAAATTTATTTGAAAATTTCCTCCAAAGAAGGTTGAACTAACTGTTTGTGAGAAGCATATAAGGTCCTCAGAGAAAAATATTTTACCTTCAATACACCAGACCTCAGGTAGAGTTATTTCTGATGTAAAGCTTGGAGCTGTTGAGGGCAGGTGGATACATCACAGTCGTAGGTCAGCTTCGAAAAATAACCAATACCTCCCTTATGGCTACTTACCTCTATCGATGCTATCATTTTGTTCTGGGAATTTGACTTCAACAATTTATCTTACATAGAAAAAAGCTAGGCAAAAGGATGTCCACTGTGCAGTACCACGCTACCAGAATGGCGCACTTGGGTATGCGCCCAGTTGCTCCCTGTGTGCTCTTATGTATGGGATGCTGTTCCTCAAAGATGATTCTTCATGGAAACATTAAAGTCAAGTCCCAAAGCTCGGGTGTCATCTATGTCACCTTCCACCCGTGCACGTTTCTTAGCTCTCCGTGTCTCTCACCCTTCATCCATGAAAGTGGGGGATCTGGTGGCTTAGAGCTGCTTTGGGGTGGGGGCAGGGCCTGTCACATGTAGCGTAGCCAGTGCTAACCAGCAGCTGCTGATCTCATTGCTGAGCTGGTGGCCGGGGAAATGACCTGAGCCTTCAGCGGTTTAAAATCATGGGAAACATTTAACGAACAAGGTCCTCGACAAAACATTTAAAACAAGTTGGTCAGAGTACCAGACATTGTTTGGGTTGTTGCTTTAGGTCATTTAAGAGATTAAAAAGAAGTCACTGTAACAAAACTAAATGAACAGGAGCAGGTTCCTCCATGAGCAATGGGCTAGGCATACATGACTGGGTGGTCACTGAGATTATTTTGGGGGACATAAGACACAGGCTGGTGTTTGGTTTTTCTGTCATTTCTTTTCTACTTTCCTGAGTACAATGTGGCCACCCTTCTTGGACTTTGAAGACAGTGTGTTTCCAGAGGTTCTGGTCCCAAGGACTAGAGCACACAATTTCTCCACTTTAGACATTGCCAGGGGGGGTAGTGAAAGTATGGCTGAGGTGGGGACCTGGCCCCTCTGCTAGACAAAGGATCAGGAAGGGGCTGGCTAGCCACAGGTACCGCAGATTGCTAAGCTCCGGGGGGAGGAGGAGTAGGGGGAACACGGCAGCCCATGGCACTGACAGCACCATGTTTCTCTGTGCAGCTGAACTACAGGGACTGTGAGAAGGCCGTGAAGAAGTACCACATTGACGGCGCTCGGTTTTTGGTAAGCTATGCCCCGTTCCATACCCTGAAGCTAAAAATGTACTGATTCTGCCCAACAGCTGCAGGGTCAACCAATCTACCTGGTCCCTGAGGCTGTCTGTGGTCAGTGTCTGTGATCAATGTTCCACTAAGCCCTTTGTTTCGATCAAAGAGTTGGTAGCCTCTCCCACCAATTCTCAGTGTCTTGTTCAGGAGCCTTGTAAGCTCTTATATAGGCGATAAGATATACTCCAAAGGCACATATTAAAGGAATCTGAGCACAGTTTAAACCCCCCATACACACACACACACACACACACACAGCCTTGAAATTTTACTCAACTGCTATGTATATTCTTGAGATGGCCGGAGTGGGCGATAGCATTGAAGAACTGGAGATGTTCACTCCTGGTTGCTAACTCTGCATACACATTTACTGAGCGGACTGAGCGGGTGGCCACTGTCCATCTCCATTTCTGCCCTATTACAGAGCAAGCCTGCTGACTGTCAAGCAAACACGTGATGGCGATCTCCACGCTCTTGTAAAATTCCACACGCTTCAAATAGAGGCTCATGGTTTAGGTTCACGTTGAATCCGCGCCACCAAAGGGAAAGTGACTTAGTTCAGATGAAGGCAGAGGCTCTTGGCTGTCAGGCAGGTGGTCCGATCATTTCCCAGAAACCATGCTTTGCTTGTGCGTTAAGAGCGAACTCTAACTATTCCTAGCCATCCCTTCTGGGCACTTCTCTTCGCTCTTTAAAAAGGGAAGAAAATGAATTTAAAGGTCTTATGGGAGATGTTCTCAGATTCCGAGTGAGAAGGGCAATCGAAAGGAGCTTGGCCATGAGGCTTCATCTGCTGCAGCTTGCTCCACAACATACCAACGCCTGCCTTTCTCCCACAGCATCCCAGCCCTGCTCCGCTTCAAGTTCCTTAGCGGTGGTGCCCTCACCATCACCTGCAATTTTCTCCCCCTTTCTGGGAGCCTCTGAACTCTCATGTGGAGATGAGTTCATTTTCCATCCCAGATAATGTCATATGCTGGGGACAGAGATATCGTTAACACAAGAGTCCTGCCTTCATGAAACTGTTTTTAGCAAAAAGAAAAAAAGATACTTTCACAGATGCCTTCAACCACCTCAATTACAAATGTGGAAACAAATGCAGAGATGTGATTTTTGTCTTAAGTCACAAACCTAATGACTAAACCAAAGCATGCTTAGACCTACACTGTGCAGGTTTTGTTGTTGTTGCTATGTTCATGCTGAGCTTTGAATAAATAGAATTCCATGAGTTTTATTGTTGCTGTTCTTGCAACTACATGAAGCAAACCTGTATGCTTCATTCTGATGCTTTAGCACTGACAAAAGAGACAGCTCTTTGAGTACAGGGAGGGCAAAATCTTTGAAAAGGGTTCTGGTTGCCCGGCTGTCCTGGCTAAACTTGAGTAAGCACCTGTCCCCAGTTCCCCTTTGCTTCATCCTCTGCTGACTGAACACACTGTGATGGGTCACAGTGGGGGAAAATAGTGACACTTCTCAGCTGTGTGACTCTTCCAACACGCCATGTGAGTGTCAGGCCTGAAATGACTTGATAGGATGGTTGTTTTCTTGGTTGAGAGATAGAATCTGAACAGCCATCTCCTCCATTCCAATCTCAGGGACCTGCCAGTCATTCAGAGAAAGCAGCACATCCTACTCACTCCGTGAACAGGAGGGAGAGCAAAGGGGCAGGAGGAGCCAGAGACTAGGGTGTAGAGCCTAGTGCCTGCCCCAGCACCTGGGTACTCTGAAATGCACTGTGCTCTGAGCTCACTTTGAAAGTCCTGATCCAAGCTCGAGTTACTCATCTCATACCCCTGCCGGCTCTGGAATATCCCGGACTATTCTGCGATTGAAAGCGACAGTGTTTGCTATGCCCACTTTCCCTCCTTCTTCCCCTCCCCCTTTCCTCATTCCTTCTGTTTCTTCTTTCCTTTTTCAGTGTGGGAGCTGATAACCACCCCCCTTTCGGTCTTAATGACACCTTTTTTTTTTTTTAACACGGGAAAGAATGGTGAGAAATGGAGATGCTGTACTTTGAAAAGGTGTAAGACAAGAAGGGATGTAGTCGCTGGGTTAACTGGGCATATATGTGGTCTTTCTCAAGCAACAAGACAGGTACAAGTGGATACTGAGGGCTGAACGACTTCTGGAGGAAGCCCTGAACTTAGGCCCCATTCAGCCTACTGAAAACCTGGCTACTCCACCTCTATGTGTGTGTGTGTGTGTGTGTGTGTGTGTGTGTGTGTGTGTGTATGTGTGCGTGTGTGTAATATTATATGTATATTGCATATATGCATTATATATGTGTGTATATATTTATACACACACACACACAAACCACATATAGCAGAGGAAGAGGGGAAAGGCAGAGAGTAAAGAGAGCATGTTATTTGGTGAATACGCCCTATTTCCTTTACAAAAAGAAATAGTGAAAAATAAACGTTATTCTGGAGATCTTATCCAATAGACTGCAGATTACACCTTACTGCCCACAAGTGAGTCATGTGACTCTACCATCTCCAGGGTAACCTGGGGAGTTAAATATTTTGCACAAACACATTTCCCACCCTGAACCAAATTCAGGTTCTGATAGGAAGGGAGGCAGAAAGAATGGACATTGAGAGACAAGCAGCCCTGTCTACCACCTTGCTTCTCTGCCAGGGGCCTGGTTTGTAACTATCCTCTCTGCGGACCTCTTTCCCGAACTCAGTGTAAAATCGTGCTTCTAAAATCCATAAATCTAACTCAAAGTTTAGCTCAGGATTTCTGGAGGGTTTTGAAGGAAGGGGAGGAGGAGGCTTTATCACACAACAAAATTCTAAAGCCTGTTTCAACATTTCTCATCTTCCTTCTCAGCTGTTGGCCATGTCTTAGAAGCCTTCTTTTTTCCCAGCATCCTCCTCTTCTGTCCCCAGTCATAGTCATGTGCATCTTCTCTTTCCTCTCTTCCTCAACTTCCTCAGCTCGTGTCCTCCTCTCAGAAACTTCTATAGTGTCCCTTTGGAAGACCCCAAATGCCTTTAACTCATCACACCATACTCTGAACAAAAGCCTTGGTCCTCCACCTTCCCAGTATAAGGTTTTTCCTTCATCCTTTCGCTATAACTCAGATGGCCTGATAGAGGCCTGGTCAGAAAACACACCACAGGCTAGTAATAAAGGCTGGACCTAATGCTCCAACAAGCACCTCTCCAAGACACTTCAGTCCTAGATCCTCTGATGACATGAGACCCTAGTTGCTCCTTTCCCATGCAGAGATGAGTAGGGACCTGAACCACAGTGTGAAACTATAGGGAACAGGTTGCCAAATTTTGCTTATGAAACAGATTCTGCTTGGTTTCACAGATTTACCAGTGTTTGTTTACTAAAGTCATTTTTGTTTATAATTCAGGAAATTTTGCATAAGATTCCAGTTTGAGGATTCCCTAGTAAAGCTAAGGGTGTTGCAGTGACCGTGGTTCTCTGTCTGCTCCCTTCTTAGCCACCTGATCAGGGCCCCTCCTGTGTGCTTTAACCTGCCTGTCGTGTGTCTCTTCTTTCCAGAACCTGACAGAAAATGACATCCAGAAGTTCCCTAAGCTGATGATGCCGTGAGTAAACTCCCGATGGGCAGCAGGGTGGGGAGCAGTTGAAATAAAGACCTGTTCAGGGAAGACTGGGTCAGGGGTGTGTGTGTGCACACGCATGCGTGTATGGAGCCTGAGGACAATAGCTGTGTCTGGGGAAGAGGAATCACATGATGAGTTAGAAGGAAGTAACAGATCCAGTGGCGCTAGTAGTGGATTGTGTGTTTCACTTTCTGTCTCTTTGAGAGGATGGCCTGGGCCTGTGAACACAGTACCAAAGTGAAGAGACCCTACGGTTTCATCATGGCATCTTTTAAAAGATTTATTTCATGTTAGAATTATGTGTTTATCTGTATGTTTGCATGTGGGTGTGTACATGAGAGCAAAGGTGTGTGAATAGGCGTGCAGAATGTGCCAAGTCCCCTGGAGCTGGAGTACAGGCAGTTGTGAGGCACCTGATGTGGGCGCTGGGAATGGAATCTGTGCCCTCTGTGAGAGCAGCACACGGCCTTCACTGCTAAGTCATCTGTCTAGCTCCTCAGAGCATCTTCACTGACTCATTGGTTTAGGATGTTAAGACCTCTGTTTCTTAGTTAGTAAAATGAACATGGACTCAGATAAATAATGGCAAGGGAAATCATTTTACCCATCAATACCAATTTCTTGAGATGGCTGCTATTAGTGTAGAGTTAAGAAGAATGTGGAGGAAAAGGAGCTGTGATTGATTAGTAATGTCTGCTCTGGGTGCTGAAATGGGAAGCAGTGGTATGCATACTGTAACATGTATTTTTCATCATTCTACTGGAGGCCTCACATGCTCAAATACAGAGGTCGGACAGGTGATATAAATGTACGAAGTAGGACAGGTTGTAAACATAAATTCCTGCTGATTTATCCTTCTTTTTGTTATCCTTGAACCTGGGTGTCTCTAGAGAAATATTTTTGCACTCAAACAAAAATAGGAAATTATGATTTTAAAGATAATTAATACAAAGGCTGATTGATGGTTAAACAATAGGGGGTGATGTTGGTTATGGCAAATCATGTATCATATGTTCCATTCTGAAAGATCTGCTGTCACTCAGCTCTCACCAGTTTGTACCCAACGATGACTAATCTTCAAGTTGATCAAAGAAACATGAGTTCAAGTGTTCTGTGTCTCAAAACTTTTCAATACTGACTCAAATGTTTTTAAACATTGTGACAGTCAGCCTAAAGCTACTCGTGAGTTGTATGGGCTTTTGGTGCTAATGGTTTGAAACATCTACTTCTGGCATTCCTTAGCGTCCCTTCTCTTGTTCTAAGGGATGTAGCAGGATCAGTACCACCTATCGCTTCAGGACCGTCTGCTGGGGACCTCCTGCGGACAAAGGGCTGTGGTTTTATAATAGTACAGGCACAGGATAGTTCCATGAGTGAATGAATGAGTTCTGTTAAAAGTCAGGCACTCAGGAGTCCAAGTTGATGGCCACAGACTCAGCCTCAGATACTTTAGGTTTTGCTCTTCCTATGTTTGAAAAATCACCAAAAGTTTCACAGAATCTACTTTCTCCAAAAGCAACAGGAAAGTATAATTCTAGGCTCACATCCTATTGTGGCAGCAGCCAGGCGAACCTGATGTCCATACTCCCATTTAAATGGGGCTGATAAGTTTGTTGTAGTTCTCACTAAGAGAAGCAGCAACTTCCTGTGCTCACCTTCAACTTCCAATCTCCTGCCCAGGGCAAAGAGAACAGGGAAAGCCTGAGTCTGATGGGTCCTTGAGTTGAGGAGATGGAGTTGAGACTCAGGAGATTAGAGTCCATTAGCCCAAGAGGAGAGAGCTGGATAGAAAATGTCCTGGAACACTTCCCAGGGCCCTCTCTAGAAGGGTGCTAGTCAGCCTATGCATGGGAGGAAACCTGTATCTGCCCAAAGATCTATCTAATTAGAGAGGTAACCGAAGAGAGAGGGTTGAAAATGGCGTGTTTCTACCAGTCAGATGTCAGGATACTCAGACTCAGTCACCAAGGAGAGTGTACAAGAGGGCCTTGCCTCCAAAAATAAAGAAGGAACAGCCCTGATCTGAAACCTTTTCTGGCTCAGCCTGGTGACTCTTTAAAGCAAGGTGGAGACAGTGCAGACTGCTTCCAAGCAACTTTACTACATTCTCAAACAAAACTCAAATATGCAAAAGTATCCACAATCAAACAAAAACACAGTGTGCCATACCTAATCAATAACAGGCAAGGAAATAAACAAGAAAATATGACCCACAATGGAAAAAATAAACATATTAAAACTGACTCATGACCAACCAACATAGCTGGATCTATCCAAAAAGAGCACTGTAAGCTGGACTCTGGGTGCCCAAAGTCAAACTGAGGCACAGGAAGCACAAACAGATCTGTGTAGAAACTCTAGAGATGAAAGTATCCGGGATGAGGGGCGAACTGCCGTAGAGTCACCAGAAACTAGGTTTTGCAGAATCACACCTCAGTGTCCTACTTCCTTCTCCGCTGCTGTCATCAACACGTAACCAACAGCAGCTTGGGGGGAAGGGGTGATTTTGATTGGCAGGTCGCAGTCCATTATCAGGGGAGCCAAGGAAGGAGCTCAAAGCAGGAACATAGAGGCAGGAACCGAAACAGAGACCTTTGAGGAACAAAAAATTGCTTACCAGCTTTGCTCCCAGACTCGCAGTCAGCTGCCGTTTTTATACTTCCCAGACTCATGTTCCCAGGGGTACCCCTGTCCATGGTGTGCTGGACCTTTCTCCACCAATTAGCAATGAAGAAAATGCCCACATGCTTGCCTGGAGGATGTACCCTGGGTGAGGTTCCCTCTTCTCCCGTATCTCTGGTTTGTGCCAAGTTGACAACGAGCCAGCCGAGTCACTGAACACGAACACAGAACAAGAGAAACTATCCAAAGTCAAACGGAAGAGAAAGTATTGCAAAACAGCCAATATTAGGGATCTGGGGGATGGCTCAGGTCAGGGCAGAGCGCTTGTGTAGCATTCCTGAGGCTCTGGGTTTGCTCTCCAGTGCTGGCAGTGGGCAGAGCATCCGGCACCTGGGGGTGAGGGGACACTTCAACTAGCTGAACGTGCAGAATTATGGTTCTCAAAAGATGTGCCTGCTGAGAGGAGGAGATACCAAAATAAACGGCATGAGGAAATAGCCGTTGAGAAATTCCCAAGTTGGATAAAAATTGTTAAATCCACAGATTAGAGAGGCATTACAAACCCTCAGCTGAAGAAGCAGGCAGACCGCTGCTCTGTGATGCTTCATTGTCAGATTCCCCCCCCCCAAAATAAAAACAAACAAACAAACAACAACAACAACAGACTAGAGATAAACAGTGAAGAGAAAAATTACCCACATAGTCAGACATGAGAAATTGCATCGCACTTTAGGAGGGATTATGGAGATGACTATGGGGGCGGGGAGCAGTTTCTATCAGAAACAAAGTCACTGAGAAGATCCCTTAAGTGCCAAAAAGGGGAACAGTTTCAAGACCACACCCAAGCGACCCATTATTTCTGAAATGAAGGCAAAAACTCTAACCAGATTGCCTTGGTTGCGTCTTCATTATATTTACTGCTACTGCCCAAATAATTGAAAGGATATGTCTTAATAATGACTATGACAGTCAGGAAAAGTTAGAGGCCTCAGAATACCCTTCTGTCTTTGGTCAAAAGACAAGCATGCTAGAAGGGGTGGGGGTGTGAGAGCAGAGCCCACTGTTATACTGTGCTCTAATGTGGTGTTGGCTGCAGGGTCTCGTCCTTTAGACCTGTGCCCAGTACACAGTAGGCATAAGTAAATGTGTGTTGTCTAACAGCTGGCAAGTGCAGGTAGAACAGGTCTTTCCAAACACAGAACGTCTCCAAGCACTCATCCCAAATGCTGAGCCACGCTACAAGTATTAGAGAAAATCTCCCGGGAGGAAGGAAATGGCCCCTGTTGCTAATATGGATCTTCATGGGAGAATGCAAAGTGTCAGAAATGGTGGCCATGCACTTGTAAAATATATTAACCCTTCGAGAACATCTGAGTTCCGTCTCTCAGTCCTTACACAAATTTCTGCTTCGTGAACACTTCATTCTTTTGGTGAAATGCTGCTAGATGCCTATAGTGTCTCAAGACTTGTCCCTGAGGAGCTACAAAGATAAAGGACAGATCCTTCACACAGTATGCTTACATTCTAACTGGAAGAGCAGTAACAACCCATCCACAGTCATAGTGGGCCACGCCTGTAACCCCAGCACTTGGGAGGAGGCAGAAGCAGAAGTGTTAGGAGTTAAAGGCCAGCCTCAGCAACACAATGAGTTAGAGGTTAACAGGGTTGTATGAAACTAACCCTACTGCCAAAGAGAAAAAAAAAATGAAGGAGAGGAGGAAGGTAAGGAAGAGTAATAGAAAAGGGAAGACCCGTGGAACATTCTAGGAGAAGGAAGCATATTGTAAAAACACAGGGGATAGGACATCCATTGGTACTACTGCCATGTCAGAGAGTCTGGAGTGTGCACAGCAGGCCAGAGGAAAATAGAGGCTAACCTACTTACTTGGTATGTGCTGCCCACAGTTTAAAGGTTCCGTGAGCTTCTGTAAGGAAGAGTTAGTGATGAAGTGTACCGGGGAGAGTATTAGGGAAGACTTACATCTCAGATCTGTCCAGGGAAGTGTGACAGACGACTTAGAGGTGACTCAGCTGGGACAAGATAATGAGTTTGATGTGGATGCTCTCATCTCAAGAGGCTATGAGGACTCTGAGCACGCGGTCTCTGCTCTCCGAGCCTCTGTTCCTCGTCTGTAAAATAAGAATAATAATGGCACTGATCTCCAAAGGTCAGGGGGAATTAGAAGAAATGCTTGGGAAATACAAACAAAAGCACAAACAAACAAGCAATGAAAACACTGAATAAGTCTGAGCTTGTCTTTAGTGTAGAGCTGTCCCTGGCACGGTTTCCATTTTTACTAATCCTATCTTGCTAGAAAGAGAGGGTCAGAGACTAGCAAGGACACACGGCTGCAGGGAGA